TTGCACTCTGTAAAGTGTTAAATGTAACACTGATTTGGTGAGAATTATATAAACACCATGCAGTGTTAATTTAACACTGGCAAATTTGCTGTGTACACATTATGTATCCTGCTGCTATATTTGATATTATCTTATTTTAGCCAGCACTCTGGAAAGAACATATTTTTCTTGGAGCTGGGAAGTTTATCGCGTCAACATGTTGCATTAATTTTAAAGTCATAACGTGTTACGGTCGACCTTTCCATATTACAATCAGGAAAAAAACCTCATAAATACTTTCAGTTTTATTTGGTTCCCTTGGCCAGCAAACCAAGAAACAAGAAACGCAAGATCATTGCGAGATATTAAGTGAGATGCTGCCTTAAATACGATTGGCCTCCTCCAAACCACACTGTACATATATTTTATGCATTTAGGAATTACTAAACTTTTTTATGATAATCCCCCAATGTACCAAAAGCGCAATGGAGAAAATGCAGACGGGTCGACTGTATTACATCTTTGGTCGCGTCAACGCATGCAGTATTTTGTTACCCAAATGTGAAAACAGTATGAACATAGATTTTAATAGAGACATATAATATTCCTTCCTGCTTGTAAACAGCGTGACAGTTTAGGTCGTGACGCTGCACGGAATCCCGGAATTCTGAGCTAAAATCAAACATGCAATTAGCGTCTCACGGGGAAGTTCAAGTTACCTGGTTTAATTACTTTGTTTTAAAAATGACCAAACGGAGGCATGTAAAGTGTTATGACTGACGCGGCATGGACTGGGGAGGCAGGCAAAGGAGAGCAGGACTGGGGTAAAATAAAAGGATTTAATAGGGACACGAAGGGGCATAGGGAAAAAACAACCTAACAATACATAACACTACAATGACAGAACTAGGGAAACAAACTGTGGTGCATGTGGTAAACGCCATTAATGCCATAGGTACGTAATAGAAAAAAAAACATTTAACATAATATAATGCCCGTTCATCAAGCTTTTTTGAAAGGATAGCAATGCAGCTTGTACTTGCTTGCAAATACAGCCTCTCCACACCTTACGATGGGGTTACATTTTAATAAACCTGTCTTAAGGCGAAAATAGTGTAAGGCAGAAAGGCAATTTAATACGGTGCACCTAACTTATCAAGCATCATAGCTTAGTCCACAGCCTACCTTAAACATGCTTACAACACTTACCTGAGCCCCTAGTTGGGCAAAGTCATTAACACAAAGCGTATTTTATAATGAAGTGTTGAATATGTCATGTAATTTATTGAATAATGTACTGAAAGTGAGCAACATTCACCTCTGATAAAGTCAAAATATCGTGACATGGACCTTCGAGGGTATTTTTGTAGGAAATGAATCATCTTCACAGCACAAGTTTAAGTTAAACCACTGTTAAAATAAAAATGTTAAAATATGGGTCATTATCCCAATCTTGAAAATAAAAAAAAAAAAACTAAATTGTTCTTAAATCTTTCAGCTTTATTGCGTGTAACCCACAATAAACAAGCCATTTTTATAAGATTTATATATATATAAATTCAGTAACTACCTGTCAGACTTGGGCAGAACACCAGAGGCGGGACCCAGAATGTGGGAGATCACGGGGGTATTTGGAAATCGAAAGCTGACAAGTCCGAAGGGCAAGGCGAGAGACGTAGTCGGGGACGTAGCGAGGAGATCAAATGCCGGGGTGGTGAATCCTACACAGGCACGCCGGACAGGGGGGCAGGCAGGACAGGAGGCAGGAACACACAGGATGCAGGATGACAAGGGGTCCGGAACAGGCGGGTAAGTCTGGCCAAACGGGGCAGGAGAGAGAGATAGGAGACAATAAACCACTCAGCTAGGCACATTAAGACAATGGCAACAATACAGTGGTACCTCGGTTCTCGAACTCACTAGAACTCGAATTTCTTGAAAGTTGAACAAACCAGTTTGACCTAGAACTCGATCTGAATATCAGAAGTCGAACCGTGAA